TGGGCTGAATTGCACAAAACGCATGATCGCACCGGCTAGCCTGGTGCGCGTTGCCATTTATCTTCTTTTCTTTTGCAATAAAATTTTTCGATCAGTGTATAGTTTTCATGGGGAATTGAGCGATCCTCTGGGGCAGCCATCGCACAGTGAGCCGGGAAGTGGGCTTCTCGAGAAGGTAGCAGTTCCCGGGGAATCTTCACCGGGAATAGAAGTCTTGACACAGCTCCCACAGACAGCGGATGTACAATTGCGAAGATGAGATGGTTCGAAAGAACACTTTCTTATGACGATGCATCGGAAAGGGCACAGCTGTCAAACGACGTATGTCCATCCAGCACACTTTCGCACTTTTGTTCAATGACTGCACTGCTCTACTTTATTGCCACTGTGGTCCTCACTAACCTCCCCTTCTCATGCCCTTCCCTCCGCTCAGCGGTGCTCAGGTAAGTATTCTTTGAAAGTACAAACCAAGATGAGTGAAGAAATTTCGAGAACTCACTCGCCCGCTCCTCTCTTTTTCCACATCCCTCCTTCGACATCTGGGATTTTTTATTTGTCTGAAAATATTGGTGATATTTTTTGTAAACTGATCTTGAACTTATTTTCCAAACTATTAAAAGTAGTTGGTAACCTCCTGAAATTCATTTTTGCAAACAAGACATTCACACACGGGCTTTGTCGCTGTACGTACAGGCTTGCTTATTTGGGAAATCTAAATGGCACTTCCAGTGTTTTCATTAATTATCAAAGTTCGACTGTGTTCATCTTCACGGTGGACCAGGAATGGCAAACAAACTGCATATGTTAACACAGAGAAGATTTCAGGCCCTCATTCTCCTCCAGTCTCCTAGCCAGGGATATTCATTGTTTGTATCTTTAAAATTCAGTGGAAGAATAGAAAGATGAAAATGAGTAACTCTAACGCACGAAAAGTAGGAATTCTAAGAAAACAATGCGAAATGACCTTTGGTACTTTGATCGCCTGTTGCTTAAATGTCGTATTTCTTCTTGCTACTGATGCATCTGGCAGTTTCGTTCCGTTTTTTTTTTTTTGAGGTATTATCTCTCATTCACATAATTCCAAACAGATATTCGAATGTAAGAATATATTTGAAAATTTCTTGCCTGTACCTGATTACATTTGTTTCGACCATTTATTGCTGTCCCACTGATTGATATCATTTCTTCGATATATTTATCGTAACATGACACAAGGCGACTTCATAGTCCATTTATGTATTTTTCTCACATAACTGCTGTAAAATCGTTAGCGATTGCTAAACAAACGTTCCACGTATGCCTTGAAGCTAGGTGAAACGATCTCCCAGTCGGCGCATCGTGATCCAGGAGTGGGAATGTTCGAGATGACCTGGTGGTGTTTATTACATACAAAGGAAATATCGATATCTCTAAAAACTTGCCGAGCTTTTGTAAACTTCTCGAGAAAGCCACCGTTCTGTCGAAAGATTATTGACTTGATAAAACTTTCAGGAAATGGAACAAACGCAAAAATCGCCATTAAGCTGCGTGGTACGGCAACGATCAGAAAAACAGAAAAAATTAGCATGAAAAAAATAGAAAAATTTTTTAGTACTAGAATTTAGAATATATTGAAGAATTTAGAATATAAAATTTGGAATATATTGAAAAATTTTTCAAAAATATTG